CTGATGAATCTGAAGCAGGACATGATAAAATTAAAACTTAGACAAGTGTGCTCTTACAGAGGTGTGGAAATGAAGGGAAGCAGAAATTAGGAAGCTACAGAATCCATCTGAGCAGCACTAGGAGTTTGATCCAAGTACCATACTAGTGATGCACAGGAGAGGAGATAACTTGGACAAAAGGAGGCAACATTTTGATCAATATTGATAGCTGAGTATTGGAGACACAGAGGAGTGAGGTATGACTTTAACATTCTAATTTCATAAAGTTATCAGTTATGAAGATATTTGAAGAGGAAGAAGAAGAGTAGCAGGGTTGGTTTGGAATATGAAGGTCTAAGTTTTGTTTATGTTCACCTAAATCTCAGATGCACAAATTTACTTGGATGCATACTCACATGTTTTAGGATAGAGGTACACATTTTAGAAGACCTTTGTAACAGATAACAAAACAGACTAAAAAAACAAAGGGAACAATCACATCCTCCAACAATCCAGGGAAAATCCAATATCACTAAGGAAGAGGAATTGGAGGAGAAAGAGGAATTCAGATGGAACTGGGTGCAATCTTCCATTTTGAGAGTGGTGGGTGTGGAAGGAAATGTGAAAGAGAGAGCACAGGAAACAGCAGCCAGCAGGACCAGGCAAAAGTGAAGGAGCCACTGTTTCCCAACAGCTAGGAGGAAGAGAACCAGCAGGCTTTTGTAATGTGGGAAGTCTCATCACAGAGGACAGATCAGTGGACAGGAGGAGCTGCTGATGGTCCATTTCTAACACGGTTTGGTAAATGAGCAGAAGGGAAATCCAGAATCCAGTGACTCCAGGGACAAGTGGGAGATGAGGAAGAGAAGAAAGAAAATTCAATTTCTAGAGGAAAGGTGAGTTAGATTTAAGTTAGGAGCTCCATGAAAGTGTGAGGACACTGAAGTCTGAGCTAGGTGGGGTGGAGGGAGATACAGGAAAGAAGAGGTTGGAAACAAAGTCCTTTTGATCAATGTGGGCACTTTTATAAATTCCCTGCTCAGGTAACCTGGAAGTGCTCTGAATTAGCTCATTTCTCCTTCACCTCTCCTGGGCTGTGCACATACTTAATAGAACTTACCACATTAGATGTAGTCTTCAGTGTGTCCTCCATGAAATGATGAAGAGTCCCCAGGGTCATGGATCTGTCTTGTTTTTCCAGCTCTTCCTGAAGATAGTTGTGGTCATAAATCACCAGGAGCAGGGAAATACTGACCGAAGGTGGTGATTTTTGGGGGGTGGGTGGGGGGTGGGAGTAGGTTCTCATGTAGTTCAGGCTAGCCATGAGCTAACTAACAAACCAGCTTCACTAACTTGTATAGTTAAGGACAACCAGAAACCTTTATTCTTCCTCATTCTAATTCCCATGTTCTAGGGCCACCACACCCAGTCTATGGTAATAGGGAGTGGTTCTCAGGCAGGCTCTAACTGTTCAGATAATTGGACATTTATAGATTTGGTTTCTACAAAGGATAGAAGAAGGTAAAAATAAAAAAAATTGAGTCTTATTACTAGCAGGAAACTGAATGTTTTTTTTTAATTCTGTTTTACAACTTTGTTTAAAATGTATTCTCGGTTTCTTGAAGAAAAAGCAATTATAAAAGAACTGAATTACACTGAGTTAGAGTGTACAAAACAGCATTCATTCTTGGAATGTAGTACTACATGTGTCTAGAGTCAGCATTTCTAACAAGATTCTCAGGTCAGTCCATCAGCAATGGGCACTATGGGGACACCACACACGCAGTACCAGCTGCCTGTGGAGTCCTTTTTAGAGGTCTCCAGTCAGGCATAATTGGGATGTGTGGCCCCCTAGGGTCAATAAAGCAGAGTTTCAGGGAGGGAGAGACAATACTGGGCTGAACAGAATTTTATTGGAAAGAGAGAGGAGATCCAGAAAGGATAAAGCAAATCTAATGATGTGAATGTGAGCATCTCCAGGGAGTCATGCTAAAGGGTGTGTGTTTATGATTTTATTTTTAATTAAAATATGTATATATGCACGGGCCTGTGTGTGGGTTGGTGTATGTGAGTGCAGTGTCTACAGAGGCAGAAGAGGGTGTCATCCCTGGAGCTGGAGTTAGATGTGGATGTGAGCCACAGGCCATCTGTGCTAGGAACTGAACTCCAGTCTTCTGTGAGAATAGTACTCACTCTTAACCACTGCGACATTTCTATAGTCCCTCAAGTGTTTTCATAAATGTGTGTGTGTGTACACAAATGTATTGTTGTTCATGCATGTGTGTGTGTGTGTGTGTTTAATCTTTCTCAGTTACAGTGTTTACAAAGTGTAATTTACTCAAGATTTTTATTTGTTTTTAAAGACAGGGGTTCACTGTGTAACAGCTTTGGTTGTCCTGGAACTAGTGCTATAGACCAAGCTGTTCTAGAACTCACAGAGATCTGCCTGCCTCTGCCTCCCAGGTGCTGGGATTAAAGCCTGCACCACCACTGTTCAGCAATACATAAAGTATGTTTCAACCCCAATTGTCAGATTTGTTCAGGTGATTTTCATTGGCCAAAAGATGAAAATGAATCTGATTTGCTAAATGCAGGAGCGTACTACTTGTTCAGCATACAAGATGTTATTCTCTACGATCTGTGTCCAAAATTATAGCTGTGGAAAGAAGCTGAACAGAATTTATATGACCCATAACCAGACCCTAAGAACATACATAAATGAGAAATATTTGTTATTGTAAACCACCTGAATATTGGTATTGTCTGTGACTTATTCTAATATATGTGAGATAGGATAACTTAGAAATATATTTTTGCCTAGAGGGTAAAATCCCTGAGCATCTGTGACTGGAGTGAAGTGGTGTGTAGCATATTTATTACCATGGAAATACTTGGCAGGTTTAATAATTACATAGGACTTTATATTTATCATATGTGGTTTCTTTCCTTGCAGCACCTCAGTTACTTAGTAATATACTGAATAAAGAATGGTGTAGGGAGGGCCAGGCAGGTGTCTGTGGAAGGGTCAGGTGTGGGGCAGCAATGGTCTGGTCCAGGGTCTGGGTGACCATGCTGAGGGCTGGCCTCACAGCAGAACTGGAGCCCAAGCAGTGAGGGGATGTCAGCATGCTGGTGAGAAAGTGTCTGGATTCAGGAGAGAGTCTCCAAGCAGAAGTCTGGTGTGAGACATCAGAGCCTGAGAGGTGAGGAGGGCAGCTATGCTATGGAATGGTCACTTGTAGGGAGTCTGTGCTCCAGCATAGTGAGGAGAGTATGAACTCATTAGGTCACTTCCTGTGGGGAGTCAGACCTGCAAATAGGAGAGGAGAGGGTTCTGATGGAGGAACTGGACATTTGGAGAGGTGAGGAGGGCACCTGTGTAGAGTGAGGAGGGCACACATGCGTGGTGAGGAAAGTATCTGTGGTGAAAAGGCACCTGGGCAGAGTGTTGACTCCATACTGGGTTGGATTCAGAGACACAGAAGATTGAAAGGATCTTCCTTGCAGATAGTGGACCTGACATGGGTAAAGTGTATCTCTATGGTGGACATCAACATGAGACCTTAGTGTCCAGTAGGGTAAGGAGAGCATCCTTACCTGGTTGTGGATGTCCTGGCATTGGGTGTAGTGGTCAAATAGGTGAAAATCCTCAGGGATTAGCACCAGGAGTCAGTGCACAAGCTTAGTGAATGAGGCCTTCCTCAGTCATGACATGAAATCTTCAGCAAGGTGTCTGGTCCTGATTGGGAACATCCAGCTAAAGGGAGGAAGGCATCAGTTCAAGGGACACAGGCTTGACCTGAGGGCTGGAACCCATCCTGGAGAGACAGGCAGCTTAGTGGAGGATGTGGGAGGGTGATGGGCAGCATCCAAGAGATTGTCACTTGAGAGCTTTCCATAGAGATAATGAACATAATTTTTTTTCCAGTCTCATATGTAGATTAGAAATGCTGAAATTTGGGAAATAAAAGGAAACCTGCTGCAACATTATACTAAAATGGGGCGAATAATGTGCACCCATGGATTTTAATATGTTTGGATACAAACTGGAGAGAAAAACTAGAACACGAACTGTGTGTGTGTGTGTGTGTGTGTGTGTGTGTGTGTGTGTGTTTGTATATGTGTGTTTGCAGGTGTTCATGCATGTGCTGTTTGTTATTTGTAGGTGCAAGAGGACATTTCAAGAAGAAATGTGTGTGTGTGTGTGTGTTTGTATATGTGTGTTTGCAGGTGTTCATGCATGTGCTGTTTGTTATTTGTAGGTGCAAGAGGACATTTCAAGAAGAAAAATATTTGGAAGAACTGAAGGCTGAGCATGTCACTATGAGTTGGAAGACGTCAGTGGGAGGAACTAAATAATCCCATTTTTAGTAAATAGTTTTAAGTTTCCCTCTGGTACATCATGATCCATTAATTCTCCCAACTGTTCTCAACAGTGCTGTGAACCCATGAGGCTCATGCTGAGCAGTGCAGGGACAAAGAGAAGAGAGGCATGAGGAGAGAGACAGCCTCCTCCCACAGCTGCTAACCAGAGCTGTGTCAGGATGTGGTCAGTGTCCCAGTGAGTGGAGAGTGCCCATGAGTGAGTTATGAAGACAGCTGGAAGCAGAGAGCTCAGAAGTGCAGCCTCAGAAGAAACAGGATGTGAGCTTTGGATACCCCTGCAGGAGGCAGCTGAGTGGGATGTGGGAGACCACACAATGGTGAGGGGACAATGGTCCTCTAGAATGTGGTGTCAGAACTTGGCTGTTCAGTCAAAATGGATGTTGTCATGCCTTAAGTGTTTGCTCATGTTGTCTGGTTCTTCTGAAACTACGTTTGCATACAGAAGCACATGAAGTTATGTTTGCTGCAGAGTGTCTTAGGACAGAGTTCTCTCATAGCTTGGTTCCTCTTCTCCCCTCTTTCCTATTTCTTTCCTTCCGCCTTCGAGTTCCCTCTTTATAGTATTTGCATATCGTGCTGAGTAGGTTCAAATGCTACAATTCTTACTTTGGTGTTTAAAGATGTGGCATCTCTGTATGTGATCCGAGTGATTCCGTGTTGTGGTTTCTCATTCTCATGTGGTATATCACATCTGAAAATACCTCTTCTTATATATAATCGTGTGATATGACAATTTATCGTCGTGATTGGTTCTCACATACCACGAGTTTTAGGGAGGAGACAGGGTGTGTTTTCTGAGTGACACAGGTCTCACTCTTCTTGATATGGCTTCAGAAATCACCTATGCAGAAGTGAAGTTCAAGAATGAATCCAAGTTCTCAGGCGCCTACTCAGATTCTGCTACAGGTAAAACAAATTCTGGACTTAATGAGGGGGAAGGATAAAGGAAGAGTCAATAATAAACTATGGGTGATGTTGGTTACTAATCATCTCAGTGCTCATGTCTGGGATTTTACTGGAGTTGCAGGGGATTGAATTGTTTGTAGAGTGACTTTAAGGGCTGTAGAGTTTCCTAGTGGGAAAGAAAAGCTTGCTTGGCATGGTTTTTGCTCTTGCCATTTACAGAAGCTATACCTTGAATCCTGCATTCTTGCATGTATATATCTTGTATATAGCATTTCCTGCTTTATAAAAATGAAAATAAAATGAAATCATACTTTTCACTATTGAGCTTTTCCCCTCTATACTTGATAGTATATTGCAACTTTATGAAAACTGTTTCTGTGTGTGGAGCTTTTATCTTGAAGGAGCTTTTTCTTTTATACTATAGATCAAAGCAGAGCCTCTCCCTCTGTAGGCAGTTGCTCTCCACTAAATTTTATCTTCGTCTAGCAAATTGTTTCCAGTCATGAGTCAGTGACTAGCAGACTGACCATATGCTAAAGAAGTGGAATATGATTAGAAATTACCTTTTATTGTATATGCATTTTAATGTTTGGACAGTCTGGAAGGTATTAGAATATATCCTGCTGCAACCACAGTAAAGAACACCAAGAAAACATGGTGATATGAAAATGTACCTACAAGACAGTGTAAAAGGAAAGTCACAGGCAGATGGCATTATTATGCTGTGTCGCCATGTCGGAAAACATACTATATGAACATCCTTTAAAATTTGCTGAAAGGGCCAGTGTGGTCTAATTCCAGCACTCCGGAGGCAGAGACAGGAGGATCACTGAGGATTTGAGGCCAGCGTGCTCTACATAATGAGTTGCAGACCAGCCTGATCTACATAGTGAGATCCTAGCCCATTAAACCTCCCACCACCAAAAAAAGAACTTGCTGAAAGGATTTGATCAAACTGTTTTTGTGAATATATATATTCAAATTATTTTTCAGATCTCAAAATATTAATACCAGTTATTTCAATAGTGTGTATTCTTTTATGTATTTTGTAATGTTTTTTTACAATGAACATTGTTTTTCTATTATTTCAAATATTCACACTATTAGTAATTATGTGACATGGAGAATAGTGAGACGGGGAAGGGGGAGGAAAAACAGAAACAAGGGGGAAACTTATCACTCATGAGATGAATGTACTCTCCTTCCAGCTCCCAAAGTGAAGCCCACCCCTCATCTAAGTAAGCCTGGCCGCCCCTCGCTGCTCTTCACATCACTGATGGCACTTTTCCTGCTGTTGGCCATCGCATTCTTGGCTGCTTTTATCTGTAGGTATCCCCGATGAATCAATAGACGATGTCTGCCTTAGGTGAAGAGAGGTTCTGCTGTAGCACCGGCACTTAACAGAGTATGGGGAAGAAATGTTGTTTGGAAAGAAATAATTCAAGGGGTTACATTGTGTCTTTTACTGTCCTTGGATTTAGCTATTGTCTTGGGGAAAAAGGAATCCATCTCATTAGAGAAACTGGAGTGCATTTATGAATGTATGTGGGCTTGTAGAGTGAAATATGTGGAGTGTTGTCTTTGTTAGACTGGGAGGTCAAATCTGTTTTCTCATCGGCATTTAGAAGTTGAGCTGTATGTGTATACAAGCTGTGTGTGTATAGGACTCCTTCATCTTGGGATAAGATGGTGGACAAGAAGTAGCTAGGAAGAAATTATCCAAGAAGTGTTCTTTAGCTAATTCCTAATTGCTCTGTCCTGTCCAGGATTATGTGAAATCTAGAAGCCAACTGATCAAATGGGTGGATTTCTGCTCATTAAAGATTCGAGAATTTCTAAAAAATTTAAAATGCATGGAACTAGTGTATTTAGGGTGTTTTACTCATTCACTTGAACCAAGTAGTAGCCATTTACTGTATGTCTTACAGTGTGTCTAACAGAGCCCAGGAATAACATGGACTCTGTTCTCCAGAATCTTAGAGGAAAGTCAACGAATCAGTGCCAGCTATGTTCAGTGGCTACTCAGGATGATGAGACAGGAAGACAGCAAGTGTGGAGCTAGCCCGGACTATGTAAAAATCTGTGTCTAAGAAAAAATGGACCAGTGTCTACAACATTGTCCAGGAAGTCTTGTGCTGACACAGATTTCCTAGAAGAGACTATGTCTAGAACTGTATGTACCATGAATGTCACAGAGATGACGGACATAAGCGTGAATGGCTGAAGTACACAGTTCTAGGTGAAAAAGAAATGAAAATTTCCCAGGTAGACATAGTGGCATGCAGAGCTTGTATTTTACCCCATTATGAAAAACTCAGTTTTTTCATCTAAATATTGTTTTTTTTAATCAAGTATGGTTTTCTGCTTAATAAATCAGCATAAACTTAATGAGGTAAAACAACAATTTATTTATCTTATGCTTCTGTGGTGTGGCAGTTTAGGCTGATCTCCACTGAGTGGCTTCTCTAGTCTTAGCTGAAGTTAGACGTGTGTATGTGGTCAGTTACCAGTCCAGGCACCTCAGCCTCTGAGAGAAGAATGCCAGTTAGGATGACTAACAGTATGAGTCACCTTTTTATAGTTCCTTAGGATGTCCTGGCTTATTTACATAGCAGCTTGCAGACTTCCAAGATTGAGGGTGACCATGAGCCAGGTCTCTCAAAATATTTAACACTTGGGCTGGAGAGATGGCTCAGAGGTTAAGAGCACAGACCGCTCTTTCAGAGGTCCTGAGTTCAATTCCCAGAAACCATATTGTAGCTTACAATCATCTACAATGAGATCTGGTTCCTTCTTCTGGCCTGCAGGAAAACGTGCAGACAGAACACTTTATATATAATAAATATATAAATCTTTTAAAAAATTTAACTTGATAATAGAGCAGAGTTGATTTTGCACATTCTCATGGCCAAATGATGTCTAGAAGGCAGTTCACACAGAAGACTTCACTGTTTTTCTTTTCTTTTTCTTTTTCTTCTTCTTTTTTTTTTGTTAACAAGGAAAATTTCAAAATCACATTTAATTTCTGTGAATACAGAAGTTAAAAGTCGTGGTCTTTTTTTTTTTCAAAGCATCACAGCCATGGAGAACCATTGCAACATTTCAAATAGAGAACTGATGTAGCTGAACATAGGTTATAGATGACGCTTATGCAGGACTCTGAAAACAGAGTCACTAGGACAAAAGAGAAATGAGAAGGCCTATTTCTAACCTGATAATGAGATAAGTGTCTGAAGAACATGAGACGAGGTGACTTTGAATGGTAAAAACACAACACAACACCCCCCCAAAAAAAAGAAAAAGAAAAAGAAAAAGAAAAAAGCCGGGTGGTGGTGGTACACGCCTTTAATCCCAGCATTCGGGAGGCAAAGCCAGGTGGATCCCTGTGCGTTCAAGGCCAGCCTGGGCTACCAAGTGAGTTCCAGGAAAGGCGCAAAGCTACATAGAGAAACCCTGTCTTGAAAAACCAAGAAAAAAAAAAGAACACAACACCAAGGAAGTAATGCTGATGACTATAGAGATCCAGGAAATAAGGGGACCAAGAAGTACATTGTGACTTTAATATTCTGATGATGTAAATTCAGCAACCATGAAGTTATTCAAAGAGGTAGACAATCTAGGATAAGTTATAGGTTTAAGTTGGCACGTGTTGATTTCAGTTTTGGGCTTATTGAGTAGAACCTAATATGTTTGTGTTTAGTGAGCACAAAATCCAGCACATACAGGCAGCAGGCAAGATCATAGCAATACATGGCATCACTTGGGAAGATTTTGTATGAGGAGGAAGCTTCGTCACAAGACTGTAGGAAGTGTTACATTTTAAAGGGTGGATGGAGGGAGAAGAGATTATAAAAAACAACAAGAAGTGACGGCAAAAAACGGTGATGCAAATGCAGGACAGAGCAATGTGTTAAGAGCTGAGGAGGAGAACTAGATCGAGTCCAATAGCAAGACAGCTAACTAATTATCCTGGGGCATTAATGATGATCCATTTCAAACTTGGTGTGAATGAAATGGAGGAAGCCAAAGTGGTGGGGTAAGGAGGACAAGACTCAGGGAGGAAAGAGAAGAAATTCAGTTCTAGAGAGAAGCCAGTCAGCTGTAAACCAGGAGAGAGCAAGCGTGTGTGTGGAGGAGTAAGCTGGTCAAAATGAGGAGAGTTTAAGAAAGAAAACAGGGGCTGGAGAGATGGCTCAGTGGTTAACAACACTGGTTGTTCTTCCAGAGGACCTGAGTTCAATTCCCGGCACCCACATGGCAGCTCATAACTGTCTGTAACTCCAGTTCCAGGGGATCTGATACCTTCACACCAATGCACATAAAATAAAGTTAAATAAATTATAAAAAAAAAAAAAGAAAAGAAAAAAAAAAGAAAGAAAGAAAACAGTGTTCTATAGATACGTGTTGAGTTCTTTTCTATTTCACATTCTAAAATAACCTAGGGCTACTCAGAATTACCTAACCCCCTTTCCTCCCAAAGACAAGGCAGTTTACATCCTTAAATACAAATATCTCTGTCTGCTTCATCTCCCCCAAGAGTTAACGTTTTCATCTCATGTTAACATGGAAGGGTATGGCTCACTCCCTTTAGAGTCATGGCAGTGGGCCTGCCTGCCTTTCAAATCATGGTCTTTCTGGAGTCCTGGAAATACTTGTGGTTTCAAATAGGAGGCTGAGGACTGCATTGGCTGTGGGGTGATGGGAATCTTAGGCTCTGGCTACTTAGGTAATTGGGATTTGGTAGATCTTTGCACAAGTAAGTAAACAGTCAAAGCCATAATATTTTCATGAAAATGAGTGGTTTTGTTTCTGGGTTTTTTTTACAGTTTATTTTCAAAAATATTCTCAACTTCTTGAAGAAAAAAAAGCTGTAAATTTAACTCACAAAGTTATAACTCACAAAGAATTGAACTGCAAAAAAGACAATCCACCCACATCTGGTAAGAATTAAAGTGCCTATGAGTTTGTTTGCTTTCTGTAGAGTTTAGTGGTTTCAAATAATCTTTCTTTACTTCATTCCTTTGTTCATTCATTCCTTCCTCCCTATATTCGTTCCTTCCTTTGTTCCTTCATTCCTTTCTTCCTTCGTTCCTTCCTTTTATGTTTATTCTTCTCTCTTACACTGCATCCCAGCCACAGTTTTCCCTCCCTCCACTCCTCCCAGTTCTCTTCCCCATCTCCTCTCTCCCCTAGATTCACTCCTCCCCTGTTTCCCTTCATAAGAGAGCAGGTCTCCAAAGGGATGTCAACCAAACACAGCACAGCAAGTTATAACAAGACTGGGCACACGCCTTCATATCAAGTCTGACCAAGGTAACACAGTGGGACCAAAACATCCCAAGAGCAGGTAAGAGTCAGAGACACCCCCACTCTTAGGAATCCCACAAGAAAATACCAAGCTAACAACCATAACATATAAGGAGCCTGGTGTCCTGAACCTCTTTGGCTCCTAAAATCCTTTCCCCTCTTCTGCAGGGTTCCCCAAGCTCTGTCTAATGTTTGGTTGTGGGTCTCTGCCTTTGCTCCCATCAGTTGCTGGATGAAGCCTCTCTGATGACAAATAGGCTAGCCACCTTTCTATGAGTATAGTGGAATGTTGTTAGAAATCAGTTCATTGACTTCTGTTTGTTGGTTTTGTTTTTATGTTTAGCTCTGCCCAAGGTCTCTGAGCCATTCCATTTCAGATTCCTGGCCATCCAGGCAGGGTCCAGCATGGGCTCCCTCTTGTAGCTTGGGCCTCAAGTTGGACCAGTCATTGGTTGGCCACTCCCACAAGTTCTGTGCCACCTCTACCCCAGCACATCTTGCAGGCAGAATAAAGCATAGGTTGGTTTTGTGCCTGGGTTGGAATCTCAGTCCCACCACTAAAAGCCTTGCCTGGTTACAGGAGATGGCCAGTTCAGGCTCCATATCACCCATTACTAGGAGTCTTTGAAAGGGTTAACCTTGGGATGTGTGATGTTTGCTTTAGTAGTGTTTCCTTTACAAACTTGGGTGCCTTTGAATTTGGAGCTTAGATGTTAAGAATTGAAATGTCATCTTGGTGGATGTTCCTTTTGATGAGTATGAAGTGCCCCTCCCAGTCTCTTTTGACTAATTTTGGCTTGAAGTCTATTTTGTTAGACATTAGAATGCTTACTCCAGGCTGATTCTTAGGTTCATTTGCTTGGAATATCTTTTTCCAATCCTTTATTCTGAGGTAATGTCTATCTTTGATATTGAGGAGTATTTTTTGTATGCAGCAGAAGGATGGATCCTAGTTTCACTTCCATTCTCTTAGTCTGTGTGTTTTTTCTTAGAAAATAGAGTCTATTGATATTGAAAGGTATCAATGACCAATGATTTTTAATTCCTGTTATTTTGTTGTTGTTATCGGTTGTGGTGTGTTTATGTGTGTGTGCTTCCCTTCTGTTGATTTTGCTAGAGTGGAATTATTTATTTCCTGTGTTTTCATAGGCATTGTTAACATGCTTGGGTTGGAGTTTTCTTTCTAGTACTTTCTGTAGGGCTGGAGTTGTGGACAAATATTATTTGAATTTGAATTTATCATGAAATATCATATCTTCATCTAAGCTGATTGAAAGTTTTGCTATCATAGTAAGGGCTGGCATTTATGGTCTCTTACAATCTGCAGTTTATCTGTCCAGGCCCTTTTGGCATTTATAGACTTCACTCAGAAATGAGGTGTAATTCTTGTAGGTATGCCTTTATATGTTACTTGGTCTTTTCCCCTTGCAGTCTTTAATAATTTTTTATTTGTTCTAAATGCTTAGTGTTTTCATTATTATGTGGTGAGGGGACTTTTTTTCTGGTTCAATTTATTTGGTGTTCTGTATGCTTCCTGTTCCTTTATAGGCATCCCCTTCTTTAGATTAGGAAAATTTTCTTATATGATTTTGTTGAACATATTTTCTGGGCCTTTGAGCTGAGATTCTTCTCCTTGCTATATTCCCATTATATTTAGGTTTGATCTCTTTATAGAGTCCAAGATTTCCTAGCTGTTTTGTGTCAGAAATTTTTTAGATTTAATATTTTTTGGCTGAAGTATCTATTTCTTCTGTCGTATCTTGAATGCCTGAGATCCTTCCTTCCCTCTCTTGTATTCTCTTGGTATGTTTGCATCTGTAGTTCCGGTTCACTTACCTAGATTTTCCATCTCCAGAATTCCTTCATTTTGTGTTTTCTTTATTGCTTCTATTTCCATTTTCAGGTCTTGATCAGTTTTATTTATTTCCTTCAACTGTTTGTTTTTTCTTGGCTTTCTTTATGGGATTTATTCATTTCCTCCAATTTTTTGTTTGTGTTTTCCTTGGTTTCTTTAAGGGGTTTATTCATTTCCCTTTTTAAGGACCTCTATCACCTGTACAAAGTTGGTTCTAAGATCCTTTTCTTGTACTTTGGCTGTGTTGGGATATGTGGGGCTTGCTGTAGTAGGACAGCTGGGCTCTGGTGGTGACATATCACCATGGCTGTTGCTGATTGCATTCTTCCTTTAGCCCAGGCATCTGGGTTTGGGGTGATTTTATGATTAGGTGTCAAGTTTATCTTTGGTGGGTGTTTTATTTCTTGGTTTCTCTTTCCTTTTTGGTCTTTTCTTCTGTGTGGCCTATGGTTGAACAGAGGTTCTTCTCCCCAGGTGAGGACTGGACTTCTGGCAGCTGGCCTGGCCTCTTGTTGAGCATGGCCTCTCCATCTGCATTGGGGACTGGGACATTGTGATTAGGGGAGGGGCGATTGGGGGTAGTGTCTGGGGTGAACTAGGAGAGTGGAGAAAGTTCTGGGTCAGGAAGTCTATCTGGAGTTCTAGTGGCCTAGTGGTCTCTGGTCCAGCAGTTGAAGCTGCCTGAGTTTGCCTACTGGTTCTCCTGGCTGCTGTGGTTTGCAGTTGAGTAGGGGATGTCTGCTTGAGTTGTGTGATGTTTCTAATAGATTCCCAGGTGGCACATACTGAGACATGGAGTCCACATGTACATCTATATCAGACCAGAAAGTCTGATATGTATGCCTCCATTTGTCTACACAAGTCTTGTTTCTGTAAAGGGTTCTATTTATTAGATTTTTTTAGCTTTTGCTTCTTCCTGAACCGGCTCTGCACACTTGCTGTTTTTTACCTCAGTACACACACACACACACACACACACACACACACACACACACACACACACACACACACGGGCTGTAGAGGTGGCTCAGAGGTTAAGAGCACTGGTTGCTCTCTCAGCAGTCTTGAGTTCAATTCCCAGAAACCACAAGGTAGTTCACAACCATCTGTAATGAATGTAGTGCCTCTTCTGGCATGCAGGTATTCATGCAGACAGAACACTGTATACATAATAAATTAAAAAACTTTAAAATATATGTATATATATGCATATATATACATATATAATTTGAATAAAATGATGAAGCACTGTATCATGAATACAAATTACTTAAAGTATTAATAGACTCCTTGAGAACATTTTTAAATTATAGATGATTTCATGTGCTATAAAAATATCATTGTAACCCCACATATTCATACACTGTCCCCTAGACGAAATCTTTATAAGCAAACGTGGTTGCTACAAATAGCGAGTGAATACTGACGTCATCGCTGATTGAAGTTCATGATTACTAGACTCTCATCTGGGATGGCACAGTGTATTTAGCTGTCACATCTCTTCAGTTTTCTCTAGGTTTGTTGAGTTTTCAGAAGATACTTGTTTTAAATGATCTGAATATCAGTTCTGAGGATGACTGACCTGATATATTACAGGATATTCCCATATTAAAATTAGAGTAATTATTTTTGGAAAGGAAGATGACAGGTGTGAAATGCTAGTTTAATTATATAGTACACAGGGTCTAAACCATACAAATTATTACAGACTGTTATTATCACCTGATAGTCCACTTAAGGTAGTCCATTTAAAAGTGTACCTTTTTTCATCATCTGAATCTTTTATTTCTTTTTTAAAATTTTTTCTTCTTTCATACAATACATCCCAGCTGCAGCCTTCTTTCTCTCCTCTCCTCCCAGTCCCCTCCACCTCCCAGCCTCCTCCACTTCCCCATCTCCCAGATCCACTGTCCCTCCATTTCCCTTCACAAAGAACAGCCCTCCTCTGCTCATGGGACCTTCTTTCTCCCATTGGATTTCCTTGTGCAGCCTTGATATGAGGGATTACGCCTAGTCTGACTACATCTTTCTATGCCATGTTCAGCTGATAAAATTGTACCTTTTTAAGGCTAACCACTTGGTATTGGATAACCAATTAGGAGGCTCATTCCTGGAAAAGATTAATTCTCCCTCACTTAGCAGTTATTAATTGCCTGTAGCTCTTAGAACAATAAAAACAGGCCATGACTCAGAGAGAGAGGAGGGAACATGACAGGGATTGGAGGGAAAATAATATAATTATATTTTAATTAAATATAAAAATTGATCTTTTTTATCCATTTTCCACATTGTAATTTTGAAAGGATGTTGCTTTCAAAATATATAGCCCACACTATGGTGGAATATTGGGTTAGGTTTCTCAAGAGACAGAATAATGTATCTGTCTATATCTATCCAAGTTCTTCATAATGGTGCACAATAGTGTTTGTCATCTGAGCCTTGTTAATGTTTACCACTAAAAATGTAACTTCTTAGTTCTTCACTGAACACTGCATGCTCTGGCCATTCATTCTTCTATCTCCTTCTGTTCTGTGATTGCTTTCCCATCTCTGACATTCTTGGTATCCATACAAGCACATACCGATATATATGAGTGTGTGAATATAACTTCTTGTATCTGCCACAAGGTGCTTCTCAATTCTTTGCTTTATTTTTCATGTATTTTACACCTCTCTTTAATTGGTATAGACAGTTAAGGATCATGATGGGAGACTGTATTTATTTGTTTATTTCTATTTTGCCTCTATTAATCAATTCAATTTCTATGATTTTTGTTTTTCCTGGTTTCTCTGTTACCTTCATTCTACTATAACCACTGCATTTAAAAAAGATTATTCTATCAATTTTTTAATTATAAAAATGGAAAAACACATTATTACACATAGAAAGAGTTATATTTACACTATACTTGGTCCTTTGACACAGCAAGTTATTCTCAACAATTCTTCCCTGGGACTCAATTAACTAGTGTAGACAAAGTTGATCTGTTGCTATTATTCTTAAGAGGGGTGTGAAGAAAAGCAATGCCCTAAATAATTGGCAAAAAAGTTATCTGTTAAAAATATATTCATATATGGTTTTAATGAAACACTATGCAATGATTAAAATGATGTTTTCAAAAATGAAAAAAAGTTGTATTTACACACATTGGGTTTTATTTTTTGTTTTCTTAAGGTATTATATTTTAAATTTATTTCTAGAATCTTTGTAATACTTTTGTGAAATATTTTTATCATTATTAACTTAAAAATGGTCAGAATTTTGCTGCCATGATTATTGATATGTATTGCTTAAATACAACATATGAAATTATGAAATTTTCTGAATCTTGGTATAATGAGTTATGCCAAAAACTAAATTATTATTTAGAGACCCAGATAGTTTGGATTATGTCCACAGTGTCTGGGTGTCCATGACACTCTCTTTTCCAGACAATACCCCAGTAGGACAAAGGGGTCCTGATGTTAGTGTAGACAGAGGTAGATTGGGTTTGCTTGGCATCTGATGGGAAGGGGTTCATGTCGTATCTGGAGAAGTGTGGTGTCCCAGCTTCCATGTGTTCTCCATATCAAGCAGGCTTTAAAATGACTTTATGACATTGCACTTACATTTCCTTCTTCCCCCAAAGACAAAGTCTGGAACTGTTGCCCAAAGAATTGGAAGCCATTTAGTTCCCACTGCTACTTCACTGTGAGTGACTCAGCATCTTGGAGTGGGAGTGAGGAAAAGTGCTCCAGGATGGGTGCTCATCTGATGGTGATCCACAGCCAGGAAGAGCAGGTGCATTCTGGGAGAGAGTGGGACCTGGGCCTGGCCTGCTATCTGCCTCTTTTTACTAGGAGGGAGGTTTGTTGAAATGGGTGTTGCTGATGTGGCAGAAGGCTTTCCATCAGGAAGGTGGAAAGGTTGCTTCAGCCTTGGCATTCTACACCTTGCCCCTGCTTCAGTGAAGCTGAACAACCCACAAGGAACCATGGCAACAGAAATGCAACATCTGAGGTGGAGGGGGGGTGAAATGTTTCTGCTTGAAAGAGCAGTTTGTGATTTCAGCACTCTAATGCTTCCTGTAGTACCCACTGCCTAACAGAGGAGGACGCAGACCTGACTAGTGTAAGAGGATCAAATCAGGAGTCACAGCCAACCATCAGAAATGAAATATCTGAGGTTGTTAATGGAGAATGATTAAATCTGCTAAATTCTCTCATGCACAACTTTCAAGAATGGTGCTGGGGAAGAAAAGATGGAGTGAGTCTGAGATGAGACATGGACAGAGATTGTTTACAATGTCTTAGAAATAGGCCCATGGGTGATGACTTTGTGTCCTGGTCAGTCAGAGAAGATGGCACTCCTGGGGGTGGGGGTGGCTATTCTATTCATTGATCCTTTCTTTGTCTTCTCATCTCTGTGTGACCAGAAAAAAGTCAAAGTATCACAGTGTACCTCTAAAATGTATAATTAAAGTTTATTAATCTATAATTTGAGAACTAATTAATGGCCTAGAGAGATGAACTAGGATTTGTTTGTTACATAATTGCATATGTGCTTCATATTGGACCTATAATTTTGTATAGTTAAATAACTTAAAATTTCTTACAAAAATTCTATAACAGAAAAAGAATCACTCCATCCAGGCTGAATGCTGTATCTTTCTTTCCTCTTAGGATTTCATCACCAAGATCCTGGATCCTAAAGCTGCTTATTATATTGGCCTTTCGGATGCAGGTCACCTACAGTGGCGATGGGTTGATCAGACACCATACAATGAAAATGCCACGTGAGTCCAGACTTACCTGGAGGAGTCCTGGGTCCTGTAGCATGAGAAGGCTTTAGGGTGTTCCAGCTGTTGGTTATGAAACTAAACAGCTCACTCCTGGTGTGAGTGCTGGGATGGAGTTACTTTATCCCCACTTCCTCAAAAGGAGTTCTGTGAGACACATGTCACTTATACTCCAGGATAGATGAGGAAACTGAGTTTGAAGAGTGTAGCATGATAAGTACCCAGGGCACCCAACCAAAGGTGTTACACCATGATGAATTCTATTACATTTTCAATCTCTCATCTATATATTTAACAATGGGATTTAATTTATTTTTATTAGTGTATATATCTATGTCTCTCTGTGTGTCGTGAGTATTTGGGTGCCCATGGAGCCTGTAAGTGGATGTTGGATTCTCTGGAGCTGAGCTCATAGGTGGTATGACTGTGCCAATATGGGTGCTGGGAACAGAGATGTCATGTGTTCTGGAAAAGCAGTGAGCACTCTTATGTCTGAGCCATCTGTCCAGATTTCATTTATATCAATAATAAAAATTAATGTCAAGATCATAACTGATTATTTCTCTTAAATCAAAAGCCCCCAATCTCATATTTTTTGTGTCGTATTTATGTAATTATTTAAAAACTCTAATATCTTAGTATGTTCCCATATTCTATCCTGATTACTGCTGTGAGAAATAGGTAGTAATGTTATTCTTATTCTTAGTTTTCAGAGAAGAAAAGTAGGAATCCAGTGTAGTAAATTACTTGTCCTATATGGCAGAATTAAGTAGATTATCTAACTATTTTAAGTATTTCTCCAGTCTCTAAAAAAAGACTACTGTAAAATGAAAAAAAATTATTACAGCATGAGAATGAGAGACCTTTTCATCATGTAAGTAAGCACATGGAATGACAGTCCTTGAGTACCAAGACTTAGGGATGAAATAGCCCCTGGGATGTGTTCTGGGAGAGCAATTGAGTAACAAGCTAAGAGAATATTGAGTGCTATGGCCCTGTTTTCAGGGACATGTCAGACATGGGTGGTGGAGAACGGTTGGTGTGTACACACCTGGTTCTGATTTCCACAAATTCCCACCGCATCCTCATCTTGCTTACTCTTGTTTTCTCTTTCCCAGCATCACTGTGGGAAACACCCTGATGCTCTTTCCTCCCTTCCAGGTTCTGGCACCGAGGTGAGCCCAACTATGACCATGAACAATGTGTTACAGTAAAGCATCGATATTCTGGTTGGGGCTGGAATGATGTCACTTGCAGTGTTAAACAGAAGTCAGTTTGTCAGGTGAAGAAAATATACTTATGAATCAAGCCTTTTTCATGGACATGGATTGCATTTTTATCCAGCATTATACAGATACCTGAAAAAATCTTCTTGTGGAAGAGATGTCCATAGAATTTTAGGTAGGCAGCCAACAGTTATCCATATGTTAATACTGATCTCCAAATACACTTATTTATTCATCTTTTACTCATTATATAATGAGAATTTCCCATATTCTAGAGACTCTACAGGATCCCTTTGTGCATATGTGGAAGCACTCCAGCCTCTGTGTCCTTTCTTGGATTCCTAAGGTCTTATTTGATGGTAGAGTTGTATGGTGTGGTCCCTCTAGTCACTTCCCTGTCTCTTTGTTCCACTGTCTTTGGATTTATTGATGTATACTTCACAAATAAATAATGTATATTTACATTATACCACCTTGACTTGATATGGAAATGTATTGGGCAATGGCTACCACAATCAAGTTAACAACACCCTCTATTACCTAACATAGTTGTCTGTTTTGTGTTTGTGTGGTGTAGAACATTTAAGATCTCCTTAAGCGAATTCAGACAGACAGGGTGACATTGTTACCTATTGTCACTTTGATCCTCAGTGCTGATTCACATTTTCTCTGGCAGTTTGTGCCCTTCCATCAGCATTTTCTCATGTCCCCCAATACCTGCACTACCAGGACCATTCAGGAACTTGGTCCCTGTGGGAGCCCATTCTCGGGTTCTTCGTGGCTTTACCCAGCAGGTCTGCATAGAGGATGATTAGGGCCACGGGCCTGAGTGCAGGTGTCTGAGATGGTCTGCACTTGGCTGTGCTGGGGGAGGAGGTCTTTTGCTTCACCCCTTGGCGTCTCTATAAAAACCCTTGGCCAGAGACAATTGGGACCCTTTGGAATAGGTTCCAGGCCCTCTCGAGGCTATCCTTTATTTTCTATCTGTTTATCTCCACAATCTAAATCCTTCTATCTAATATTTCCTGCTGATTGCACTCAAGAAAACTCTGGGAAGCTGTGGGGGTGGTGGGTAAACACCCTAAAGAATGGCGCCATGAACAGGGACTAAAGAAAAAAGAAAAAAAAGGGACTAAAGAAAAAAGGGAACAAAAAAGGGGGGACTAAAGACAAATGAACAGGGACTAAAGACAAAGTAATAGGGACTAAAGATAAAGGAAAATAATTGTTTTGTTACAGAGTTTTTGGTGAAAGTGCTGTCAGCCCTGCCAGTGGAAAGGCATGCCGGTGTTATGAAAAAAAAAATATTTTTATATATATGTTTGGGAGGCAGGGGTTTTATCCTCGAGAGAAAAGGAAAGCGGACTGGAAGGATGTCCGATGCTGCAGCGAAATTCTCTTCTGTCAAAATTTTCTATCTTCTATCCCTTTCTCAATTTCTATCTGTGAAAAATAAGTAAGATACAGTGTAGTAATATAGTTTAGGAAAAACTTAGAAGTGTGTAAGATTGTGTAGGAAAAAATAAGTAAGGCAACTAGACAGAAAAACTCAATTTTCTTACTTTGGGAGCTAGAAACGCAAACTGGGGAAAAAAATCTTTCTTTGGGCTTTACGGGTAGTAAAAAAGCTCTTCTCTGAGCTTATGGGGAAGAAAAAGTAAACGCCCCACAGGTCCCCATGGCTAGTGTGTCAGGTGCTGTGGGTGCCGTGAGGCTGATGTGGGCCTCTAATGGTGGCTGATCCTGGCTGGGTGACCTTCATAAGAGCAAGTCTAAGAAGATGACAGCCAACCTTCTACTGGCACCTCCTGTTGTTCTTGGTGTCCCATCCTGTGCTGCCGCATTAGGGACAGCCTGTGTCCTGTGGATGGACATTGAGGAGATCCACATGTACCACGGAGCCTGCTGCTGCTTAACACTTTGGAAGCTTTTTCAACTTCTTATCATGAATATTTTGAAACAGAAGTTGACTGGCTGGTATCATCAATACTCATATAATTACCATCTATAGTAATGATTGTTGATAATTATATATATATATGTTAAATGATAGGTCACTTGATAGCTAGTTTGATATATAACCCTTCAGTCAATATTTCAATATATATCATCTGAAATTGTCATTGCACAACAAAACAATACCACTATCACTCTTAGAAAATTTAACAACTCTTTTCTCAGATGATGTGTGATCTTGCCTGTATTTCCTCAGCCATCCTCAAAATGTTTCATATGGCTGTCCTGTAAGCTATAGCCAAAAACATTTCATTTACTAATTAAATTATTCTACAAGTTCAGGACTTGCCTCCACAAGACTGTCCTCATTTCAGACTCAAGCTTCAAGTTCAGAAGTTCCTAAGGATGCCATTAGTTCAAGTCATCTGTCTGCAGAGTCCCAGGATCCCTTAATACCTGCAGATTTATGAGATTCTAGGATAAAACACTGAACTAAGGATTCTGTTCTACTAGGATTATAGTTCTGTTATGTAGAAAGCTACAAAGCAGAACTGAAGGGAGAGACATGAGACCAGGTGAAGTCAGGGAGCATCCCATAAAGGAAACTTCCATTGATCCCATGATCCACCTCCTTTCCAGAATGTTAATGAGTCGCAGTGTACAGAATAAGCCAGCCAGGGGGCAGTCATGTGAGCATTTGTGTTCAGAGTTTTACCAGGGTTCATTATATAGGTGTGAGTGTTTGGTTGATAAAACAGTGAACTCAGCCTTCAGTATCATTTCCCTGCCAGGGTGAGCATCTCAAGGCTCAAAGGCTCAACTCTTTAAACACAATGTCAGTGTTTCTAAAATGATGAGCTCCCTGCATGAATTGTCTTGTTAGCAGGAACTATGAAAGAACTGAGCAGCATAAAGCTTCATGGCCTACCATGATAAAACAGAATTCCAAATAGCTCAAGGAATTCTAATCAATTTGAGAGGTAACCTCCCATGAAATGGGTAAAAGTTTAAACAAAGTCTTTCTTCGACAGGTCAGATATAAAATAATATGAATGCAAATGTTGGTGAACAGGATGTGCATCATCACTGTCCCAGGCACTCCCACACTGCTTCATGAGAGACCCCATGGTGTACATGACAGACACCCAACACTAACCCATATGACACTAGTTTACTTCAATATCAGAGATCAGTAAAGCACAAGTTTGAGTATTTTATTTATTTCATGTACATGAGTATTCTATCTGCATGTATGACTTTATGCCAGAAGATTGAATCAGATTTCACTATAGGTGGTCGTGAGCCACCATGTGGTTGCTGGGAACTGAACTCAGGACTTTTGAAAGAGCAGCCAGTGCTTATGATCATTGAGCCATCTCTCCAACAAGTTTTAGTATTTCATGTTTGTGTTGCAATGGTACCTCTTTTCTGCCGATGGGACTAATTTTCCTTTGTGAAACCCCAAACAAAACATCTCCTGAGAAAACAGTAAAGGGATTAGGTGTAGATGCTATGCTGGTGCCCAGTGCTTTCATATTCCTCTGTAAAAGGACCATTTCAATGCCTTTGGCCCATCTTCCTTTATATAGAGTATGCTTTCAATTCCAATTGGCTGGTTTGTCCAGGTGACTTTCACTGGCCCATAGAATGAGAATGAATCTGATTCTCTAAATACAAGAGGTTACTACACATTCTACTTACAAGAAGTTGCTGTTCTCTATGATCCTGGCTCCAAAATGATAAATGAGGTAAGAAACTGAACAGAATTACAATGACCCACAGGTCACTTAGGACGAGGGACATACTTAGAACATACGCAAAAGAAAAATATTTGTTGTTGCAAGCCACTTGAGAGTTATGCAGGACTTTTTGAAATGTATGTGAGATATGATAACTTTAAAAATATATTTTGCTGAGAGGGTAAAACGGCTGAGCATCTGTGAGTGGAGTGAAGTAGTGTGTAGGCATATTTATTACTATGGAAATACTCAATGGGTTCAATAATCATACAGGACTTCATATTCTGTCATATTTGTTTCCTTCCTTGAAGCACCTCAGTTACTTAGTAACATCCTGAATAAAGTATGGTGTAGGGAGGGCAAGGCAGGTGTCTGTGGAAGGGTCAGGTGGGGGGCCCTGTGGAGAGTCAGAACTGTAAATAGGAGGAGAGTGTAGTGGTATTCTAATTGTACTGAAATGTGATTTTGATTATATGTTAATAAATAAAGTTGCCCGGGGGTCAGAGCTATTAGAGCCATAGACAGAGTGTGGCGGTGGTGG